AAGTTCCTTTTTCTGACGTTTCTTTTCTAGTCGAGATTGGTGAATCCGAATAAGGTCCGATTCTGCATTGACAACATCGCATGCCATTTTGGGGAGCTTAAGTTTGGCAAATCGTTCGTCTTCCGCGGCCTCCTCCAACTCCATTGCAGCTACCGCTTGTCTATCCTCTTTTGTCACAGTCAGCTTTGTGTTTTTAGTAGAGGCAACCAGTTTTGCACGGGAAGTAGCTGAATCGAGCTTCTCTTGGATTTTCAAGAAAAGTTGATTAGAGACAAAGTACCCATGCATGTAAGCCCGTAGGAAGCGAGTGCCAACTAAGTCCATCATACCGAATTCAAGCAGTTGCTGACGAGTCAAGAACTTGTACCCATCGTACATCGTTCTTACGTCGGGCTCCAGCTCTGTAATGAGTTGATCAAGGGAACTGCACCAGTAAGGTGCCTCACCGAGCAGGGGAATGAAATAACGCGAAACTTTAGGTGACTCGTTTGCGATCATTATAAGACCACTATTCGGAAAGTGATACATCCAATTAAGTTCGATGGGTCCAGTTTCAAAACCGACGAACATGCTCCCTGTTTCAACATTCCAAATTTTTAGACAATGAGCCACAATGGCTAACACTTTATCTTCATGGAAACAAACCGTCTTAATAGGTCGTCTGTATTCTGTATCTCTAGTATGCCAAGGTTGCTTTGTTTGCCGGACATCGAATATATGCACAAGTCCCTCACTCGTACCAACAGCGAAATTGAGGGCGTCTTTGTGTGTAAAAGTAGTGCAGGCTGCGCGTGAAAACACAGCCATTTCGGATGGCCTGGGCGCTGCGGAACAGATATCTAGGTTGAATGTCCACTCACTGCTTCGCAAATCCCACCCCTGCACATAGCCTGCGGTTGAGCCTGAAAGAAGCACATCAAGTTCCGGCATGAAACAACTCGCGTTGAAGCCATCAGTATCTGAAAGAGATGGCGACGCTAATGGTGTAGCATATCTACCTTCACATAAATCCATTCGGAAAATTGCATTGGCAGCAGCTGTGATTAGAAGATGGCATTTAGAAGGAGCATAATGAATATCGACTCCAGGTCGGGGAACGCGAAAACGAAAGTGGTGGCCGCCAGCTGCATGCACATCCACCCATCGTTCTTCCTCCAAAAGTGCAAATTTTGAATAATCCTCACTGAGACAAGTCATACGAGTTGGCAGGTAGTCGACACAACGGTCAAATTTTAACGAGAGATTTTTCAATTCATAACACCGCACACGAGGCTTATACCTGCCAAGGAGGAACAAATATTTCTGATCCGGTGAACAGGTTATGTACGTCGACGCATCCGGCATTTCCAACTCGTGGATTAACTCAATGTGAGTTGCGGCACCAGGATCTTTTTTTAGGAGACTTCGTTTCTCTGCTCGCGACGCCCATTCCGGCAATGATCTTTCAGGTGTTAAGTTGTAGACTTTAATCCCGTTTAGTTTCACAACATTCATCCCGGAGCTCACGCAGCCGTGCAAGCTTCGTATGCCAGTTTCAACCACGCGGCAAGTAACCAATCAGCAGCGCCCAACTTTTGAAACGGTCAAGTCGTCAGCACACAAAATTTTGCAGTAAAATTCATACCGTTACCAAAAAGTAAAACTGCAGTAGCAACATTTCTTATATTAGAACAAAAGCGAGTTTTTTCACAACCCGCACAGACACTGTATTAAAAAAAAAACAACTTTTTTACTTTTTTGTGATTTTTTGTTCCAAATATAATTCTACCCAAATAAACACATCCTCGTGACGTTGGATCTCTGTGACTTCCACTATAAATAACTTCACGGAAATGTTTTGCACACTGACAGATCAAGTTTATTAGCGATTGCATATCTACGCACTTTATCGGACCACCGCCAACAACACTTTTACAATCGTTGATACCAATGGTTTAAGACACCAATTTACCGTCTGCCATGGCATCCACCATCCACCATCTATTCATCTGATTTTGATTCACACACTGACATTTCGTGCATTTTATAGTTACCATTTCCATTTCTTCTTGCAAATCATTATATAACAATTAACTGCTTCTTAGGAAGCATTAGCAAATATATGAAAATCTTGGTGTTTTCACAAGAGCTTTGGTGCCTACTGGTGCGACCAACGACACATTAAAACTACAAATCGCAAAATGTCTTCAAGTTATTTCTTTGAAAATTGCATTTTAAATAAGAGTTGTAGTCCATTTTGCAAAAGATGAAAATGCCCTAGGAATAATTCGTTTGTAATAAGTTTTTCTGGTTTCCTTGGAACCAGTCTTTAATTCGTCTAATAATTTTTACTTTTTTTCTACATTTTATTGGGTTAAGTATTACTCTTTATACCTTCTTAAAAACACTTCTTGAATCCGAAATTGTCTTCGAATTATGCAAGTAGTCTAAAAGGTAAACTCAAATGCAGAAATTAAAATGGTTAGTAATTTTTTTGAACAGCGATTAAGTTAATGGAACTATCAGTTCGTGTCTCTTATTGGACGTCCCAGTTGTTCTAGCCTGAATTAATCTGCATTGTAATGGCGACTCCGATTTATGAAGAAGGAGAAACGCCTAGCTCCAGTGGTGAATCTCCACTAAATGAAGAACAATTATCAGCACTTGTTCACTTTAAGGTCTCGAATTCCACTAAATTATTTGTACTTGTAGGATATTTCCGGTATATCTGAAGATGATGTTGCCAAACAAATTCTTGAATCAAATAGTTGGGATCTTGAGGTAATTTTGAGGCCTTTTGCGTAATTGCTTAGAAAGCTGTTCATCACTTTATGGGCTATGGGGACCCCAGCGAGCCACTTGTTCGCAGGAGATATGTTTCTCCACCTACCGTATGTGGATTTTAAACTCTTAACACATCTGGTCATTAGGTGGATCTTTCGCCACAAAATCAGCACGTTTACTACCCAGCGCGCCGTCATAGTCCTTGGTATATAAAGCCATTCTCTTGGATGCTTGTTCCAGTTCGTTTTACCTGCCATGTTGTGTATGATTTCATCCGGATTATATGTAGGTCTTATTTTTAATTTAACATGATTTATACTGTCGAACTGCTTTCGCTGTTTGTTAAAAGAGAGGGCTAATACAGCGATTGTGACTACACAGTATTTCGTTCGTTTTTCGTGTAAAACTGGCTCGGTAAACCTTCGCTATTGTGTCGTCATCTTAAGTCCATAATAATTCTCCATCACAAATTACGACTATTCAACCCGGTTCAACTATGTCCGCCCCGATCTTTCAAATAGTAATTGTTTTGATACACATGGAAGTAATCAAAGCCTTTTTTTACTTCTACAAATTTTTTTTAAAGTACCGATACCTCCAATACTTTGCCTTTGCGAGTAATATCGGTTTCTGAATTGCTTATGAAAACCTACATGTTATTCTACATTGTTGCCAGGTCACATAACTCAAGAAATTATCATAAACATTTGAAAGGCTCAAAGGCCCCATTTTAGCAGCTGTCCCGTCGTGTTTCGTCACTGTAACACCCAGCCTGCCCTCAATTTGCGCCGATGGGAGGTCAATCGATAGTTGGTCTTATCTGTCCGTTCTAAAACCTTCAGATTTGCACAAATAGGTTCTTGAGAGACTATACTATTGTGGAAGTCGCTACTAAATAAATCTTAAGGTCATAAAACCAAATTAAGTTTTTGAAAGATTAACTTTTAAGGCAATTGAAATCATGTTTAGAAACAATTGTCGCTTGCTCCATGTAATAGGGATTATTATTATCTTAATAGCGAATTTTAAGAAGTATCGGGGCGAAAACCCATAAATGCCCCTTAAGAAACGCTTGATATCTGGTTTTGTCGCCAGGCTCCCCGTCTGTGTGATAGACCCTAAGAAGACACGAGTCTTGCGCGTTTTCTATTGACAAATAGTATGGATTCACATTATTTTTGTTCATTGTCTTTGTAGTATCCTTCATTTGGCCAGATCCTCGCCGATGTAAGTTAATCATTGGGGACTGCGGTTGTCGATAACTTTGCAACTTTTAATCTCCATGGGTTTCTAAAGTATTTGCAGAAGCCAACTCTATCTGCTTCAATACTAGGTTTTTTTTGTTAAATCGGTTATCAGATTGATATGCCTAAGTGTTATTACGTTCTAGCTGATTCTTCCAGGGATTTTGCTGGTCGATATTTTGACATGTGAATGCCGCACTAAATGATTAGCAGGATATACTGAACATCATTTCTACCTTCTCGCCATTATTCAAAAACCATAGGAATGAATATGTCAAAAACTACTCATCAGTGGCTATAAAATAGAACTTATAAGGACGACAGCGACTGGTAATTAGCAGAACCAGGTCTGGTGAGCCAGCATGGGCGGTGGAGATAGCTGGTTTGCAACCAGAAGGATTCTTGCTCCGCATCTGGCGGATCCGGAGTGGCTTGGTGCGTTGCGATGACCACGGCAAAGCTTGTCATGTTCCTCCGTGACACCGCTAGATCACACTTTTGCGTGGAGGCACAATGAAGCGTCGTGCTTCTAATGGTTGAGCAAATTCTTAATCCCCAAAATCCTTGGGTCAATTTCTCCCCCCTTCCTCCACATGTTACTAGGGTAGGTTTCAACAACCGTGCAGGTGACTGGTTGTAAATCAAAATGAGGCAGACACAAATCCTTAAAGGTGTCTCCAAATCTGCAAGTAAACATTAGTGAGGTGTAAAAGCAACTACTCTACATTAATGGTCGTTTTATTGTGTCAAATTTGATATATCTCTTGCGAGATATTCAGTCATTGTTTCCCGAGACTTGAAAGTTGTCCGTTTCTGTGTTGGGATGATGGGAGTACAACTCAATTTACTCTGTTATATTTTCCAGCACTAACCGACCCCGCTGGTGATGTACGCAACTTCATCGCAGATTTTCGGCAAAAATACGTACCTGGTGTGTTGGGGGATCAGGATGAAAGCGAGACGGACAGAGTCATACGTGAATCGAAAATCCCACCTTTCTTTGATGGCACCTACAGTGAGGCACTGCGCGAGGCTAAACAGAGCCTACGCTTCCTGATTATCTACCTTCATGGCGATTCACATGAAGACACAGATTCATTCTGCCGGTGAGCTTTATCTCTTCAGTTTACTTTAACTTGTCTCTGTGATTTGTTTTACCGATTGTAACTGTTCTTCCTTTTTGTTGCGTCAACGGTGTTTTTTGAACATCTGGTAACCCTAACTTGTTAGCAGAGCAAAATGTGGATCATGTTCTTTTATTCCGTGCCTGTTGACATGTTCAAGGTATTTCGCTTATTGTCTACCACGTCATTATTGTGCTTGCCTTGTGTTTTAGCCAAACCCTACTTGATCCCATTTTGCTCAGTTTCCTCGACAACCCTGAGCAAGTGATATTTTGGGCATGCAACGTCAATTCGCCTGAGGGATATCGAGTTTCTCAGACCTTTAGGGAGCATACCTACCCATTTATTGGCGTTGTGGGATTGTCGGCGAATTCCGGTTAGTCCGCTGTTCTTTTTACAAACTGACAGCAATCACCTCACCTAGTAGTCACCTTGTTATTGACACGAGTTTCCAACTTCGTGTTCATGGGCTCATTTTGGTCAAGTCTATCATTCACTTTTTTCTTTTTTTCAATTTATCGCAAATTCTGATCTCATTTCTGCACTGTGGGTATCAATTCTCGAAATTTTTGCTCTAAAGATAGCCTCGCTTGCTTACACCTTCCGTCACACAAACTAAATCAATTATACGGTTTCGCAGCAAACCGGTCAGTGAATTTAGTTCCATCACCGTCGTTTTGTTGCTGTAATTAAAATAACCACCCTGAATTTGTCATCTTCCAAATCAAAAGAATAGACGTACATCATTGTCGTATTTGAGTACAGAGTACGCGGAATAAGGAAGCATTGGGAATGGAATGATGCAGTTAATTTTATAAGATGTACGCGAATGTGTCAATTTTGTAGGGTACCTTTTACTGGCAAAATATTTAAAAAAATTGTCTAAAATTGGTTTTTTCTACCTGGATGTCTTTGACATGGAATTATTAACGCAGATTATGGGAAATTTGTACGAGTAAACCCTCCTAAAAACATAGAAACCCATCAGACATGTCTTTCTATGCTGAAATACATTTACGTAAATATAATCATGAAAAGGACTTGAATGTTGTCTACCAGCAATGCTAGTTGAAATGACTTGTTCAAATGTTTAAAATCATGATAATACATCGAGAAAACGTGGAGCAGTGGGTCGTGTTTAAATTATTCAACAGTGTACTTCGTTGTCGCATTAAGTGATGAAGGCTTCATGTTGAATCCTCGTTGAAGCATGGCAAATTGTCGACAACTAGTTAAAGGAAATTGTAGCAACAAAAACCACATAAACGCAATGGTATTTAAGCCAGAATTAGCCATGTTCTGTCATTATTTATCAAGAAATCGGGACTCTAAAGGCAAACATTAGTTAACCAGCTTCCAGATCGTCCCGAATCATTATGCAGAAGTATTTACCATGTGGACGAGGTCTTTCTCAGACCCCCCAAAATCAGCCCCATTTAAAAGGATATCTTGAACCCAGGAAATATCTGGCAAACTATTTTTAAAACTGAAATTTTCTTATTTTCAGTAGCAGCTGGAATTCAGCCTAACAGTGGTCTCTGCAAACGTGTTATTATCAGCACTTGTGTGCATAGTATGGTGACCACCAATCCGTGCTCTGTGGCTTTGCTGAATGTTATTGTGTTGATCCACTCCTTTTGCTTGGTTTCACAGTCAGCATTGCTGTCATGTATATGCAAAAAACGCCCTCGTTTGGGTCCCCAACCGGTTAGCATTATGTAGACCTCGACGTTTTTAACTTTCTAGCCTATTCTCGAACACCCTATTCATCAACCCGCATGGCCCTTCTTGGACGGATTGAGGGCTTTACCAGTGCACCTATTCTGATTGAATACCTATCCAAGATTATGAACGATCACCAAAGCATATTGACAGCAGAGCGGGCCGACAGGTAGTTTATACTTTACAGTTTATTATTTTCGGAATATTAAACGCCTGTCATTTTTGTTTTGGTGTATGTTTTGTAAGTCTCCTATGACTTCTATCCTTTAAATAGGAATTCCCTTTTTTGGATGAGCTCCTGTCACCTAGATTTAAGGAGTGGTAACTTGGAGGTACAAAAGTCAATTTATGTCGTTTCACACACACAATTGTATCAGTCGAACGATGTAATACTGGTCGCTTGTCTAAAGTATCAGCGATTCCAAAAGGTTTGCCAAAGGCGTCAATCGCTCATTAACCGTACTACAATTCCCCTATTTGGTTACGTGTATGTACGTGTGCGTAGGGAGACTTAAGACGTCGGGATTTTCATCTGTCTTAACTTCTCTTGGGTATATTCGAGAAATCATTTAAGTAAACTACCAGTTCACGCTGTGTGCAAGTATGCCTTCGACGTGCTCTTGAATTCTTGATATACACGTAACTTTTTTCAGGGCGGAGCGTGAATTGTCAACGCGACTCAGACGAGAGCAGGATGAGGCGTTTGCGGCTTCGCTGGCTCAGGACAGGGCGAAGGCAGCGGAACGCGCGGCAAGCGAAGAAGCTGTCGCACGACTTGCTCGAGAAGCGGCAGAAGCGCGTCGTCGTGACGAGCTGCTTGGTTGCGCCCGACTGCGTCGCCAAAGACGCTGGGCAAATTCCCTGCCTGAACAGCCCACACCATCGTCAGATGTCGTTTGCATCTCCCTCAAGTTACCCAACGGGCGCCGTACTCAGCGACTATTCTCTTTCAAAGATTCTCTGAAGGTAATCGCCTCCTAAATGACACGACGGTAATTGTGTGGTTGGAATATACTTACCTTACGTTACACGTAATGACGGCGTCAATAATCACGGACAACACTGCAATAGTCATCACACAAGCGGCACCACTCGATGAAATTAGTTAAGCACAAAGTATAATAATCAGTCTCACTACATGTAGTACAGTAGCTTATTGAAAAAGATCTAATCGTTTATGGGTGTGCTGTTGACGGAGCGTTTAAAAGTTTTTCCAATACAAATCCTGGGAATTACCTAGTGCGTATTATGTCTCACCATCCGCCACATGAAAATTAACCAGTCTCATGCACAACCGTTCTAGTCGCTGAATGCTGCATGGCTACAAAAGCACAGTACTTTTGAAAACGGTTGTTCCGAACTCACATAGATCCCAATCTAAGTATCTAGCCAAGCCTTGAACTCTTTTTACAGCTCCTTTACTACTTCATCATTTCTCAAGAAGATGCACCCAAGCAATTCTCAGTTGCATCAAACTACCCAAAGAGAGTGATCGAGTGTCGTCCAGCGGAAGAAAGTGACATTGAGGACTATACCCCAGACAAGGAAGCTTGTGAAGATGAAATCCTGTGCAAACCAGTAAAGGATTGGACTCCAAACGGTACCACCGACCCCCCCTCTTTTGAGGAGGCTGGACTAGTGAACCATGAAATGCTTCTCATTCTTGACATGGATTCCTGATCTATAGGCCTCACTAACCTCGGGTCCTTCCACCGATTCTTTCAAAGCTTTTGTTTGTGTGTACAACAGTAACCTGCCAGTCGTCAATAGCGCATGCTCGAATGGGAGTGAACATTGGTTACCTCAATTTTGACGCCTCAGATGATAATTACAAAATATTCCTTGGCATTCGTTTGTCAAATGTTTCACTCTTATTACGCATTGGGTTTAGAAGAAACCAATACTAACTGATTGCGAATAAACAATGCGCACGTCTGCCCTCTTCTTCAGGAGCTGCTTACGTCCTTTGGCAAGAAATAAAGTCGTAGCTAGTTTAATCAGACCTAAAACCGTCGTTAAATAACTTTGCTGATTTTCTAGGATAGTACCATTACTAGCCGGCTACAAATCAGAAATAGTTCGTTGTAAAACAGGTGCGCGTAAGTCCCACTTGCTACGTACCACCAATATGGATGAAAGAAAAGCCCCAATGTCGCGTAGGTTCCCAACTTTCGCCTACGCTAAGCTAAATAAAAGTGAACTAGGAGCGATATGTTCACTTGACGTGTGGTTAAGCTCCATTAATACAAGGAAACATCGTTCATAAGTAACTGACGTGCCGCATACATTGCAGTGCCTTTTGCAGATACGTCGGTTGTTAACACAATTTTTAGAAATCGACGGGTTTACGTGGAATAGATAAAAAAATGCTTTTTGCTTGATGCTATAACAGGGGAGACTGAATACTCAAAGGATTAACTTGCGCCGCGGTATATGTTCGTAGCCGCAGACCCCAACACAAATCATAAGTGTTGGAAGACATTTCACAGAGGCGTTGCGCAAATGTTAAGAAGTGTATTTATGGCTTCATGTCTCTAAGATCAGAGTCAATAGCTCCAATGACGTCCTTTAAGTTGTCCCACTGCTCGCGGTTTAGAGAAATGCCTAAAATAGAAGGACACGCTGCAAACAAAATGCATTTTAGAATTTATGATGTGTGAAATGAATGCAAATATCACGGTATTAATATAAGGACAGGCAAAGGGCGGCCGTCAAAATGAATATTGGTCCTCACCTTTCTTTCCAGGTTTAAGACCTTCACCGCTTTTATCTTCATAATATTCGCGAATATCGACAAATACCCGCCCACGAAAGGCACGCACACAAGCGTATTTTCTCCCAGTCAGATCGATTAATTTATCACCATTCGATGATGTTTCACGCGGGACACTATTTGCGCTTTGGGACTTTAACTGTTTCGTTGGTGGTTCTTCCTTGAAATAAAAAAAAATAATCAACCAAAACTAACCTCTAAACTGGATAGAGATGAATCGGAATCACCATCACGCGAGGATTTCCGCTTATTTTCAGGCATCAGCGTGACAACCAAAAGACACACAAAAGACGAATAATTACAGAGAGCGCTGCAAATTAGCCTCGCAAAACACGAAAAATTTGAAATGTTACATTAAAAAAAAAAGGGTTGAATAACCATAAAACCATTAACATGTACGTCAAGTTCCGATGTTTCATTGCGTGAGGTAGGCAGTTATTACCAGAGACGTCAAAAGCAAATGAGCAATGTAATTAACTGGAAATAGTTTCATGATGCAACGATTATGGAAATTACTTGAGTCATAAAAGCGTAAATCAGATAGCGGAGCACTCTTCTACAGGCAATACATCTGCATTAAACAAGAACGTGTGTGAATTTTCTATGTGAATAATGCTGTTTCTTGGTATTGATCAAACCACATTTCATAATTTTTAAAGAGCTTAAAAATAAACAAACGCCTATATCACATTCCTGAAATGGTACTCTGCTCCACTCATACAAGCAATTTATGTTATGATTTTTTAAAAAAAGTCGTTGTAGCACTTTTGTTGTGAGAGCAGCAATTTCCCATATCAAACGAGCACAGACAGTTGACTGAAATTGCTACAAGTGGATGATGCTATCACCCAATTTATGACATCGATAAAAGCGGACCCTTGTGTGTAGATTAGGAAATTTGCGCTCAAAACTTTTAAGAAGACCGAAAGTATTGCAAACTCAATATTAGTTATGATCTACCATAAAAATGCAAGCGTAGAAATTCGGCGCATGGCCACCAAAATTCAAAGCCCATAGAAGATAAGCTTCTACATGGTAAGAAGTCATAAGTCTATTAAATAGGCTACACTAGTAATAGCAAGGGTATTTATTGTACAAATGATGTACACTGATAATTGTGTTTAATTTTATTCACGGTGCGAATTTGTTGCAAAAGAAGAACTACTAATTGCATTAGTTTAACGAACGTATTAACGGGTTTAAGGATGTATTAGCAAGAAAAAACGGAAGTAGGAACTATAAAATACACTAAATGCCAGCGTGTGAATCAAAATCAAATGAACAAATGGTGGATGGTGGATACCATGGCAAACGGTAAATTGGTGTCTTAAACCATTGGCATCAACGATTGTAAAAGTGTTGGTGGCCGTGGTCGGATAAAGTGCGTAGATATGCAATCGCGATGTTGTCAATGCAGAATCGGACCTTATTCGGATTCACCAATCTCGACTAGAAAAGAAACGTCAGAAAAAGGAACTTCGCAGGGCAAGGGCTGCCCGTGTAAACACTCTCATTCAACAAAAGGCGGATTCGTAATCCCATCAACAATGTCGTTTTATCCTTGTAAATACAAGTGTCATTACTACCGTCATCTTGAGTCATTTTTCTATGCTGCACAAACCATATATGATAACGTGTTTGCCATTCCAGGTTAATGAATCGTAACAGACGCCGTGGTGGCGTGAGCTCGGGTTTCGCCAGTCTCCGTGATGGTGTTAAAAGGAGGCTTTTTGACCCTTTTGCTGTGCCAGTTGCTCCGGACCCTCGGGCTGTTATTAATAGACTGACTCCTATCCTCTATGCTCAGCCCTATGTCCCCTCAATGTTACATTGGTCGGATGTTACACAGCCTCCCAAGAAAGATTTGACCGCAGAGGAAGTTTACCAGTTACGATTGGTAGGTCAACGAGAGTTCCTAATTTATGACAGTTTGAAACGAGGGCTATTGTTGATTATGCCTTTGAAAATTCAACCGACGTCCGCAGCCTGGCGACCAGGTCCAAAGGGGTTTTGGTGGGAAAATCAGAGTTACTTCCTTCTGCAAAAGTGCGGTCCTCCACTGTACACATCCTAATGAAAACCGAGGAAATTTCATTTTGGAGGGATGGTGGCCTTCTTCAGTCCTTCTCGAATCCATTCGAATGGTCGGTTTAACGCGTTTATTATGTGCTTTGCCGTGGATGATCGATTAAACGTTCACCACAGTACTGCGCTACTCTGAGTGCGTGATATAACTTTACTAGTGCTACAGATTCAATTTTGGGACGACACTATGCCTAACTGTGTTTGGGGACAGCATAGCTCCCCAAGTAAGATAATTGCGAATTCCGCTTTTATCTACCATGCATCGTTTTCAAAGGTACCCAAGGGAAATCGCTGGATATCTGTCCAAGAGTTCATCTGGCGCGCCAAGTTCATCAAAGCGCGTTAGATTCGATTGTCCTCCAGGAGGGGTCAGTGACGAAATGGAAGATGGGGCCGTCTTGGATCGGACCATATTCGAAGTTGTCGACAAAAATGACGGTAATTATTCTTACCTGTTCAGGTGTTCAGGACGTGAGCATGGTCGCTTTTCTTCTACCTGCATTTTGATTATCAATGAGCTGGTAATACACGTGAACACCAAATATCCCAATGTGTTGCTACGTAATAAGCACTGAAATCAAAAGTCGGAAAAGAATTGAATTGCTTTATTTGTAGGACCTTGTCTTCAGGCTTCTGAGAGTGTAAGGTCACGACCCACGGAATCTATAAAAATCAAGTAAAAAGTGAACGTCAATATGTGATTGACTCGGAGTGAAAGCGACGTTCCGGTAAAAGTACACACGACGCAATTCAAAAGTACTGCTTTTCCAAGTCCATCTTACACTTGACGAGCCTATTATTACCTACTGATTTATCTGGGTCTGACTGACTCCATTCCTTAAGGACGGTGTGCGTTCAGTGACATGCTAGTGACATTTGGTTCCTCACCTCTTGGGTATGTTTGACGGCGGCAATCGCGAAAACTACTTTTAAGTGACAAGCTAGCAGTCCTGTCGCTTGACGTCTTTGAAGGAAGGAGTGGGGCACTGTCAGTTGTATTAACGGTGGTTGCTAAACTGTTATACGTTTAAAGGACTAGTTGATGTCGTTTGCCGTTCGTCGACAAGTGACTAGGCATGGGTCGGCTTGAGAGCTACGGGATAAATGCAATTATTTAGGACTAAGATAGGCAACTATTTGACTTTCAGACGACGACGTGTCAGTAGGGGGCGTGGGCGACCTGACTGAAGCCGAAAATCAAGAAAACAGGGATTCGGAGGACGAGCGGTGGAATGGGGAACAGGTGGAAGAAGAAGCCGGAGACGAAAGCAACGACTACTGCGAAACTTATTTTGACAACGGAGAAGATGATATTGACGATTTTAACGTGCAAATGTACGAAGCAGGTGATCAAGACGACGGCGGTGAATACTATGATCTATAAATAATCGCCTATACGTAGAACGATTATCATGTATACAGCATTATTTGACTACACAGCACCCACTGACTGTCGTATTTCTATCCGCCGACATTTGGATGCTTATAAATTCCTTGTCCACAAACTCAATATTCCCCGGCTTTAATTAACAGGAAAAGGCCACAATTTACGGCGATATCGCTTGCGTCTCTCTGTCTATAACCAAAATAATGCGTCAACTGTCATCCCACAAGCTAATCAAGCACGATAACACGGTACTCGCGACAAGGCGCCATTGTGTGATCCAAAAGATTACTTGGAATAAAGGTTTAGTCCGTCCTAGCTTGCCAGCTCTGACAGTTTTTTCTTGATTGCTTCTTCCAGTGGTTTATACTATGCATCCTAATTGATCGTTTACTTCCTTGGAAGCAGCTCAAAACAGGTTTGTAGTTGCATTGAACTGACAGCCCAACCTTTTGGCTGAAAATCAGCCTTCGATGTGGTTTGTGGTGGTTTTGGGTTGATTTTCTGGCGAATGATCCACTTTCATCACTGGTGGTGTTCTGTCACAAAAGGGCGATTTCTTTGAGTCTAGGTCAGTAATGTCAGGGCAGAATAGGTTGGAGATATTAGTTCTTTTCTTCAATGCTAGAATTGACCTTAAACTAGCACTTTAACGAATACCGCTTTGCTTCTACAGCAAACTGGAAGTTGCGTCTTTCAAATTGCAAGGCGACAGATTATGATGCTGAATGAATGGTTTTTCGGGCCAAATGTGCATATGTAAGAACCGAAATTGCCTCTTTGTCAGCCCATTGATATCAAGTTCTTCACGTAAATCGGTGCTTCGTCAGCATTGATGCAACCGATGTTGTCTAATGGTGAGCGTGATGCGATCGATGCACAGCACGGACGCTTAGCAGATGCTAGTTAGACACGATTCTCTAGTTTTTTTTCGTGTGTGAGGGTGACAACTTCCAGCTCCTAGTGGCCTTACAAAAACGATCTGGTTTGCGCGGAAAGCGCGTCTATAGCCGTCCCAGTAAAACTGGCGTTGTGGACTTATTTCCAAAATTCATGTATAGTAAATTTGAAGACTTATTTTGTAGCTACAAGATTCGTAGAGTGGTAAATCGAATGGATGTGGTTTACATTTCGTTGTGTGGACAGTTTTCAGTCACGATGGAATCGAGTTATCAAACAAAATAGATGTGAATGTGCCCTTTTGGTGGATGCCGTTTTTATCAGACTCAACAGTGCGGATAAGAGTTTTTTAGTGCATTCACTTGAACAGGCATGTAGATTGGGGATATCAGTGGTATTAAACAATGTGGACTAATGAATTCAATGCTACACTAAAGATAATTTCGACTTTATTTTTGTTAGGGCGGGTTGATTCATTGGAGATTTTAGAGAGGAATGACTCGCGTAGAGGTAAACAAATTATCAACGATATTATTCGCAAAATCCAAGTAAATGAAGTTCAGCCAGTCGTGCATCTAGCGTAGTGACAGGCCGCGTCAATTTTTGATGAGTAGGGTTTCCCTCAGCAGCGCCACGTTTAGTCTGCATAATCTTTTATTTGCGTCATGCATTTTCAGAGCAGACCCCACTCACCTTTATTTAGCCAAGGGTAAGCCTGCGTATTCGTCGTCCTCTCTTGCAAAGTAGAGGGTCTCCACACCAGTGCCCGCGGAAGGAACGACTTCCTCAAATTCTCCCGCATTATCAGCAACTTTAGATCCTGTTGTTAGGTGATTGCAAACACTATCTGCGTCGAGGCGCAAATGATAGCATACTGTACTTATCGGCAGCCGATCAAAATCACGGAGCTCGTACGGGCACAGGGATTTGCACTTCCCCTGCCTATTAGTAGCTATGGCAGATTCGACCACGGCACGTATGTGACTGGCACGAAGGGCTAGCTGCGCACGACCAAAGGCAACGCCGAACTGGTTGAACTGGCAGTTCTCTAGTACTGCAATCATCCGGCGCTGGAGTGGAAAACCTTGGTGTTGTTCAGCGAGTGCGTGCAGGATGTGATTGAACTCGCGGATCCACTGACCATGACCTACCTTGAAAGATATTAAACGGAAACCCAATGTGCGAAGTCTTCCTCACATTAGTTATCATCATATTAGCAGTCTCACTAGAAAAGCTGACATACCTAGTACAACTTGCACCACTTACTTTTAAGCCTCGTCTGTGCCCTTCGATTAACCGTCGTTTTCATGAATGTACTCAATTTAACACAACTTCGAGATGAACATAGGGTTGGTCGAGGTTGCCGAGCAAGTAATCCTGACAAGTTTGGGGGCTTCAGACGAATGTATCAGAAGCGTTTAAAACACATCGAGGTAAAGGGGAGTAGGGATAGATTTTGAGGGTGACGTAATAACGAATCCCTTGCGTTTTATTCCTTCAGTCCGACGCGAAATGGTCCCCCATATTTTAAATTATAATAAAAACACCAAATAGTATCACTTTCGTGGACATGATGGCAATCTGACGATATGTGGCTGTTTCTGCATTTTAAGTGCAAACAAAATGCATATTCTACTAACAACTTGATGCCAAACTTCGATAAGGGAATCATCAAATCCCTTACTAAGATGAAGTGTCCGACGTAGTCCATGTTTTGATATTTAGTGCCGGTAGTACAAGACGACGCGTGGCTGACGTCTTCGTCCGTACGACGAATCGGCGGTACAAAAGCCTGAGGCACTGGTGGTTGTCGAAGAGGCAATAGTAGGGGCAGTGGTTCGGCATACTCAGGAAGTTCAGTAGATCCTTGACTGGGGAACTCGGGGGCCGATCTTGGCTCTTGATTTGCAGCGAACTCACATAAATCGAAGAAGAAGTTGAGCGCTCTCCAGAATATCTAAAGTTCGGGTAGATAAACTAGGTTGTTTCTTGACTCACAATGACTGCACGAAAAGTTGTGGGTCACTAAAATACATCACGGCTCTCCAGAATATCTAAAGTTCGGGTAGATAAACTAGGTTGTTTCTTGACTCACAATGACTGCACGAAAAGTTGTGGGTCACTAAAATACATCACGGCGAAGGTAGTGATGAAATAAGCATTTGAACATGTGCGACCTAGAGACAACAGTATTTGCGTGATGAAAAACCTATACACGACTTGATAAATATGTTTTGTTAGTCATAACTGCAAGAAGAGGCTAGTAAAAGTATGCATGGAGACGACTAAGCTTAGATTATCAGATTGGTATTAGCACTTTAACACGGCTGTTTGTGCCGTCTATAATCAGTAAAGGTAGAAACGGACAGACTAAGCTGACATCAAATTAACAATACATGTGAAAATGTCCTTTTTGTCAACTAAGTTGTAGACCAATCCCTACCTCGTGGCTACATTCGCCTCGGCAATCACGCCACATTTGACAGCCCATTTGATGGGCTTTGGTTTCAGCAATAAATCTGTGAATTTGTTCTCTTGGTTTTCCATTGTAGAAGCCAAAATTCTACAAATTTTCTTTGATACCAACGGACCCACTCTTACTCTCTCACGCATCAAAGGACTTGTGAACGAAGCAAAAGAACTTTGTTTGTTTACTCGTTTAATGGCCTCTGCGGTCTAAATAGATTAAAAAGACAAAATTGTAAGGATACATTAAAGTGTTACGAGAAAAGTACCAGTGATAATAAACGAATAAAACCGTGAATTCCAAATGGTCGAAAAAGTGCCACAAGTCACGATGACTTGGAATGTATTCGCATTGTACAGCGCGATTTTAAGAAGCTCACTAAGTGTGTCGGACACCTGCAGCCTCCACTTCTCAGTTTACAAAAGCACGTTTCTATTTAACCTTAAAACAGCATCGTCCTGATTATTGCGTCGCGTTCGACATAGATACAGTATAGTCGATTCTACCAAGTGTATGAGTTAATTTTTACAGATTTTTTTCACCGTCCTTTGTGGCTTTGAAAGGATAGCACATGACATCTGGGAACACCGAAAGACAGGTCTACGTGAGTTACCTAACCTCTCAGAATAGCAGAAGTTATGATGGCAACTGATAAACAGAAGACTCGGGACTGCATTTTATGCGAAGTCCATGAAGGAGATAACGCTCCAAGATCACTGGAATCAATTTGTAGCGTTCTTGGTGCCAAAGTTGCTTCATGAAACATGTAATTATTGGTAAAAAAATTGTTGAAGCGGAGACTCCGATCTTGGTGACCAGCCGCGCCCCGAACAACAGCCTCGGAGCTCCACTGGATGAAGACTTACCGTAAACGCAACAGGAGCTTGAAACAGCTTAGTTGGGAGTAACATAAACACCTATTTTCAAGCGTTCACATTAAATAGGGAAAATTAAAAAAAACTTGGAATTTGAGTAGCCCCACATGCGTTGACCAAACACAACCTAGGGCAAAGTATGAACACATTCCGTTCATTGCTTGCCCACCGCCAGCAAAGAAGGAACTTCCTGTAGAAAATTGCGACGAGTGATGAGAAGCATATTTTTTACAAGAATCCAAAACGTGGAACCGTGGGCAGATCCAGGGCAATCCAGTAAATCGACGCCGAAACAGGACATTCACGTGAAGAAGATTCCCCTGTGTATCTGGTGGGACATGAAGGGTGTACTTTATTTTGAACTCCTGGGAAGCTGGTCAGACGGTGACTGCGGAAAGCAACAGCCGACAATTAAACAATCTGAGCGAAGAACTTGACCAGAAAAAGGCCATTCACTGGCCAAGGAAGCAGGCAATTCATACTACTGCTGCATAGCATCGCTTGATCTCGCGTTGCTTGCGCGACTCAGGAAATCGTCTTGAACTTTCGCTGGTAAATTCTCCCACAGGAAGCACACTCACCAGACTTGGCCACATCCGGATCTCATCTGTTCCGGTCAATGTAGCACGTCTTAGTGGACAAGCAGCTCAAAACGCTAGACGAAGTGCATAAATTTGCCAATTACTTTACCACCTTGAAGTCTGTAAGTTTCTTTTGCAACAGCATTCGTACGTTACTTGAAAGATGGTGCAATATCATAGAAAGTGGTGGAAAATATTCGCAAGATTAAATTCGTTATCCTCTATTTTTATTTTAAATTTGCTGAAAAATCTGTGCGGATTAAATCATACACCCAATAAAACCTCACATTCTCTTTATTAGACACAGAGCATACATTTCACTCAGAATATCTCTAACCTCTAAATCGCAAATACTGAGGGCGAGATTGTCCACACAATGCTACAAGTCTAAAGGACGACCGGTTATTGAACCAAGACAAATGTTGGCGATATCAACATTACTCAGAAAAAAGTGATTCAGAACAACCTTGGGATGCTAGGGCGAAATGACGACCAACTTCATGGCAAGGAAAGACTTTAATAATTCAATCTAAGTTATGGTACGGAAACACTCCATGAATGACAACCGACCCCCATCCACCTTACCTACATTGCGAAAACAACTTTGAACATTCTTGCGCTTTTAACATGTTTCGTTGCATTATCAACGCCTCATGGCCTTCGCATCTCCTTTATAAATAACTTCAAAGATTGATGCATCTCAACGACAAGGTATTGATGAACGACATGGATAGAGCCAAAACGATGTATTAACTGCTATCATTTTACTTGTCATGACATCCTAAAAACCTAAATATGCATAACATAGTTGTATCACGAGAGTAGCATAAAATGCTTGGATAGTCAGTTTAAGATGGTTCATCAGCTGGCATGAAACAAATTTCGTCTCCCGACCAAATCACCTTCAGGATATATTGCTAATTCCAGGGTTTATTACAGCAAATACGCAAACTAGTTTTTAGAAGTCAATTATGCTAACTTCTAAGCAATTTGCATAAAAAAGTGCTTCACAGGTTACAAGATCGAGCATTTACTCAAGCTTCAGTTTTAAAAAGTATAGCGACAACAAGCAATGCAGTACTATGCCTCATATATAGTCAATATTTAAATACTTAGATTTGTTATTCATGTTCTTAATAATTAACTGCAGGGAAACTATTAATAAAGATAAGTAAAAAATGGTCACGTTGGTATTAGTAAATCCAAACACCCATAGCAGTTCAGAGACCTAATAATTATAATGAAAATTTCAACTAAAACCAATAAAACCAAAACGTGTGTCTTAGACATAAGACATGTGAAATTGCCTTAGTTTTCAACAGCGAACACGAGTAGAGGCTAAGTAAAATGAGCTTTAAACGTGTGAGTTTCTAAACATATATTTGAGTCGAAAAAGTAAGTCTGACATACATCTGCGGCTCTCTTCAAGTCACTAGTAAATATAGCGTCAAAATGAATATTTTTAAGCCTGTCTCCAACAAGATTAGCTTGATCCACTCCAACAGGAGATAATTCGGTATCCATGTGACCTGAAATGAATCAATGAGAATCGAAAAACCAACCCTGAATCACCTGGGTCATGTTTTCATTTGTTTGTGCACTAAATTGGTAGGTACAACAATAAGTCTTACTGTCTGACGACTGTAAGATAATAGTAAAGGCAATCCCTCGGAGCCATTCAATAAAACACACCAATTTCACAAAAGCGCCTTGTCTTTAGACACCGAAAGCATCAAAAATCGTTAACAAATTTAAATACCTCCATAACCGTTCTGTCGACGGTAAGGCTTATTCAAACTCTCATATTTAAAGCATCGATGAATTTTCAATGGTAAAGTGAAATGTGCAATTTTTGAGATCGAACTTAGAAATGCATTGCCTCCGAACTACCTTTTATGTTTTATATAAAAAACCAAATGCATTAAATGAGAAATTCCATCCAAATGTTACTTGCTTAAATTGTACATTTACCAGTACTTATCTAGCTAGCTTTGCCTTTTTTAGAAGTCACCCTCAACATTTCTAGGAATTTGGCCATATTATCTTGACAAGAAAAGTAGATATTTCTGACGCGGGTACCAAATATCGGTTATTCAAATTGACTCCTGTAACTGCTACTTGACTCAAAAATTTTCTTTATAATATTATTAAAAGTCCTGAAAATGGCTGGAAATTTTCTGTTTGTTTAATTTCTTTGTCCGCTGATTTTGGCTCAGTACTTACTTACAATGAATAAAATGCATCGAGGATAGGAGTCAGTATTCTTTCCTGCCAAAAAGCCATTGTTATACCATATCAAAAAAATTTTAGTGTAGCTTTGTATTAGAAAGTAATATTGACCGGTGAATCTGCTCTTGAGTGTGGTCTATCCGCTTAAGTGAAATAGGTTTCCCGACATTGTTTCCATATCCATTAGCACAATCTACCGCTGACCCTTAGTGCTGGCGTCATCGTGCTTGGTTGCTCATCAACAACACAGCACTTCCTAGTTTATGGGTAAAAGTATGTATAAGCCCAATAAAGAGGTCTGTGCACTAATAACTACCTGACAAATCAGCTTATGTGTAGGTCGAATCCACATTCATATTAAATTAAATCACCTTATTTCAGTTTTAAAAAAGCTGGTAATTGCCGGTTTATTAGGGCTAAAAAGCCAATCTTAAAAATCTGTAGAGTGAGCAGACACTTGAAAATGTAGAGAATTACATTGCTGTGGACGGTGCTTAAAAAGGGCCCCTGACTTTCGTCTCTATTTTTTATTTACTCTATAGGGTCAACTTTTTTAAGGCAATATTTAAGGTGTACTTGAATTTTTAAACTTTGCAGCTCTTTTGCGTTCTTTTTGGCCCCTATAAAATTGCTGTAATCGTTACTTTATGGTTGCTCCTGGCATCGTCTTCGTACTTTGAAACGTGTTTGGGACGAATATATGCCCTTTCCCGATGCGTTCTGCTCGTGATTTGAAGCATGCAAATTATCATCTGTATCTATTTGCATTATTATGCTCCTATCTTTCTAGAACCGGTCCAAAATTCTCGAGTCCGGTAATAGTCAGTCACACAATTCTTTCTTGTGATCGGCAGTTAAGGTAGCCGTGAATTGCTAAGGTCTAGAGAATCACCGCTGACACTTGATGCAAGTTCTTATGACAGTCCTTACCTTTTCTGACATTCTAGATCCAAAATTAACTTCTTAACGCTGATATTTGGAATCAACTCCCATTTTACCTTTTAGTTCGTTCTATTTTTGAATTAGCGAATATACAACGAAGTAATTTGTCTCCGACGCGCAATACTCCTTTCGCATACTTTGATGTGAGACGCCTCAACGTGGTCGTCCTTCTGAGCGATTTTCTAGTATTCTTGCTGTTGAGACATTTGGACCTAATTCGTTGTACCCTTGAGAGAATCCATATATAATGCAGTTGCATCCCTTTAAATCAAATTTTTTTACAATCGAAGCTATTTTAGTTTCAACCGACATTAGCATACCTCTTCTGGACAACTCCGAAACTCTGTGATAATCTTTAAAGAGTAGCAACCAGGCCATATATCTCACAAGTCTATCTCACGTATTCATTTGAGCGTATTGACCGAAAAAAGTGTCCGGGGTTTATAAGCGTGTGAACGTTAATAAATTTAGAAATTTTTTGTATTGAGTAACGTTGGCTTTCGGCCGGCTTAATGGGTTCTGAATTTGGAGGAATTTCAAAATCATGATTATTGTTCCGAAATTCAAACTTAGCATTTTTATTTACGAAAACGCGCCTGGCTAAGAAGTCAGCTGGGTTTAGATGTGACGATGCAGTGTCGTTCGTCTGGATTCCAACATCCATGTATCAGAAACAAATGGTTGGAATGAAGGCTTAAAAACGCAAAGTCATTTGATCCAGTTCTGCCAAAAGTCGTTCGTTTAGGGATTGGCCACAAAAGTTGGCAGCGCAGTCGAAGACTTTTGATATTTGTTTGACCTTGACGGCCCAGTGAAAGGGTGGCGAGAAAGATGCCAACTGTTGATAGCTCTTCTGTTTCGGGTCTCTTTAGCAAATTTCTTTCTATTTATTTATTCAGCGTATTTCAGCTCGTTTGTATCAGTTCGTTCAAACTTTGCTGGCTTTTACTGAGGGGTTTGAGACTCGGCTTCGCATTTGATTGACTAGTTTTTAGAGCTCCAGGTTGCATCCTTCACGTTAAATCTAGTCTCAGTATGTTACCCTGATATTCGCAAAGGTTAAGAACGAAGGAGACGAGGGACAACCATTTACTAGACAGCTCAACAAAATTATTTTATCGTTTGCGTGCATTAAGGGTGGTGTATGACTCACGTGTTTTTTGTTGACTGAAAAAGTGGAGTGGACTAGTAAAAATGCAAACATCTTTATGGCCAGATGGATAAAGCGGGTGTAAGTGGTTCACGCAGAGAAGTGAATTAGCAAGCCGTCCCGCGGGACTGACGGGAATGCCGTGAAACGGGAGACGTGTGTGTGAGGCTTCAACGATCGGGTTATTGGACGTTAATCAACACGATTTAGTAAAAAAAGCATGAAACGACGTTTGAACCTCTTCGAATTTCTTAATTTCCGTCTTCAGTATATGTTGGGGGTGCAGCATTCCCTGAGACGTCTCATTGCGAGTTAGGATTTCGTCATTGTTTACACAATCACCCTAACCACGCCACTCAATGAGTGAGTCACCCACGGCACCCTACTGACAGCCCCATCTGTGTTAATCCGCCTTGATTCATCAGGTCAAAGTCATCCTTGACTTATGCATGCGGGTTCATTCTGACGGATCCCTCGGCCTTTGGCTGAGGCACTGAACGTTCGCTGCACGGGGTCCTGTCTTACATCAGCGTGGGAAAGTGGGGTCCAGCGTCGGACAAGAGATCTGGGGTACCAGTTATCTGAGCGTGTGATTCTGGTTACGGCAAATGTAACACTTAATTTGATAGAGTATTTCTGACTTGGGCTGGAAGCCTTTAATGAAGTGTTTCTTGTCTGAGTCTCTCTCAATGCAACTTCAGCTGATAAAACAGGAAGGTCATGTTTGTCGTTTAAGGGAGAAACTATGTGAGCAGTATCTGCCAACGAAGCTTTGCAGCCCATCATCGATTTCAGATGCCTGACGTCAACTAAAATAGAGGGCGATCCAGAACTTTCCACAACGTATGCGCGTTATCCTGAACAGTAACTTATGCGACAATAAGTATTAAATATTAAACTTACGCAACAAATATTTGGATAAGAAGACCTTACCGCAATGACCAAACTCAAGGAAAATTCCAAAAAAAAACAATACAGTAAAACAAAGGACATTTTATATAGAGTGATGTGTCCACGAGTGTACTCCACGAGCAAGAGATGCTTCGGGTGACTCAATGAAAACTGTCAAGGACAATGTTCTATGTGCGCACCTCAATCTGGAACAATTTTCAAAGGCTGAACACATGCTGTATACACAAAAGCTTTTGAGTAGGAAAGGCTCCACTAAATACACTATTTAGCAGAAGTTTCTTGTGATGTCTTGAAGTTGGCCAGAAATGACTACCAAGCATATGATATTATTTGCTAAGCATGCGAATACATGCGTTGGTGATCCACACTGCACCCTAGTCTCACACTCTCAACATAAAATTTCAAAGATCATCCGATTTCGGTGAAGACAACGGACTCAAATTGCTTAAATAAATCCCACAATTTTAAGGCTAAATACAATTTCGAATTGGTGGATCAGGCGTGTCCCCGAAAAAAAACTTAAGATTTGGAGACATCTGGCGTTCCATGATAAACGCAAGTACTTGAACTTATGGGCCACATCCAAACTGTTAGGCGCTTTGTCTAAAACCTACCATATATGCTTAACATTGCTCCATACAAAAATATTAAGCGCGTCAAACACGTCAGGCACTTTGGTCTCAGCTTACTACCAATGAGTTCAAAGTTTTTGCTGCGGTGTAGTCATTGCTAGTCAGGACGAGACTGTACGCGGTCTGTTATAAAAACCAAATCTCTTGCCTGTCAGCATTGTAATTTTTCATTGAATCGAACAAACTACAGAAGTTCTGTCTAAATATCATAATCCGTGAAACTCCTCTTCATATTCTTCTATCTTGGATGTATACTGTATGAACGAAAATTCATTTCAAATTATTTTGCTACACTTTCAAAACTGCAATTTCATTTAATCTGGTTCGTCATGCCTTAATAAAATAAAGGCCTCATAAATAGAATTAACCACCATACCAGTTCACCACAACATCAATAATTAACTAGCAGTTAGTCCACAAGTAGCCACGCGAGGGTCAGTTCAACGACTTGAAATGCTACTTTTGGTTAAAGTGTCATTTGCCACAGAAGGACAAGTAGATCTGTACGCCCTAAAAATATTACGAGGTCAATTCAATGTGGCTATGGATTTATTTGACTTTAAATGTTTGAGGTCGACTGAAGAGTTTCCCACTTCATTGATTAATTCATAAGTTGCAATTTAACCACTAAGTTGTGCATGTGAGAATTTTGAGGAGACGAATGCCTGATGCGTGACCAAACAGGTTTGCGTCCTGTTGCTTGGTGCTTTCATCCTCCTTAGTGGTAAGTAGGATAATGGATTTACCCCAAGGTTAGCAAATTTGTTTAGAAATATGCCATTCATGTTTGGTTAGGGGAGGCTAAACCAAAAACAATCTGGAAAAATGCGTTAACCAGAATAACATGTAAAGATTCATGTTACACAAATCAATTTTCAAATGAACAGCACTGCCAATTGTGTCAAACATTTATGCTTTAAATCACCTTCCGATAAACAATTCAACGTCTGAGAAACACAACAGCGTTTGTCCACATCAAACTATCTTCATCCGATTCACTTTTTATCCCTAAAAGAAAAGTGAGGAGTATCATGCAAAACTCACAACTCATACATCTTTAACTCATAAGCCGATTGGTAGGTCCGGAAAAGTACTGTTTGTTTTCCATCAAAATGATTTCTTGATGTCGAAAATGCATTCTAAAGTGATGCCCTATTGTTCCCTGTGATGCTGAATTAATTTAAGCCCTTTCACTGCGATTATTTAAATAGTGAAACCAAATACAAATCAAATGCTTAGGCTTTCGTCTTAGGTTACATGCAATACTTCTCATTCACCGCACGCAGTATTTTCAATCATGTACACAAACACGCAATGACACGCAAGTCGTTTGCAGACTATGAGTGGTGTGACCGGCACACTGGCCAATGACAATCGGCTAGAACGTTAAATTTAAGTGCCTGTTTTCGCAAACAGGTGCCGTTTCGTGTTATAGAACCATGTATGAGTACGACGCAGGAGTACACGTAGTGCATTCGCCCTATGCGTACACTGATCCTGAATCCATTCGCCAGCGAATAGAAAAGGTATGTTATTAACAGAACTTACTCCTCATGACCAAGCATTTGTTAACTAATAAAACTGAAACAATGTCTAGCTTTGGCTTTTACTATCTGCATTTACAATTTACCAGTCTAAAGCTCATTTGTGACGCGCCTTTTAGTATTTTCAAATGAACGGCCAACCTACATTCACCAATGATTATCCAAACAACATTTTACCTGATTTGACGTCAGAGAACCATTGCTCTATAATAATTGCTCAAATGAAAGCGATTCTAACCTACAATTATTTCCAATATGAAACACTTTTTCCACCCCCATTCCCCAAATATAGTTGACATGGTTTGGAGAAATTAGACTGGTTATCGAAGCTTTTTACCACCAGCCATTTAAGCTCCTTTGACAGGCCTAAAAACCCCAGCGTGTTCATTCCAGAGAAAAATGTTTCTATCACTTTGTTTTATAGCACTCAAACAGGGCTTATTTTGAAACACTTCTGCAAAGCACGCATGTAACTTCAGCTGCTTTACCTTAGACATTTATTTGCAGTGCAGACCACGGTCAGCCCAGGGCAAATTGGCTTGTTCGACACGCTCTAATCGCAGCCGTGTCGCGAACATTTTAGATTGAGATTTTCCATGACCTAGTTGCTGCTTGGAACCTTACACAATGTCAGTATGTAAAGAATCATTGAATTGCCTATTTCGATATACACTTGTGCCAACCTAGTGTGAGGTCAAATATCTTGGTAGGATAATGTGGTCTCATTTAACTCGGTAAAACTGCCGATTACAAAATCGAAATGCATCTAATTGAGATCAGCAGTAAACGAATTACCAAGAAATTTCGAATGAAAAATTTCAGAGAAACAAGGAGGACCGGAAGCCCTTTTGTCCAAATTCCCAATGCTGCCCTCCGCAGCGCTCCGCTTGGAAGTTCTGGGCAGTTGCTCTCAGTCTTGTCTTAATTATCTGCTTCATTGGAATTGCAATTTGGGTCGCATGGACCCGTTCGAGCTCCCTACAGAGCACTGACGAAGGACCCCAGGGTCCAGAGCTCCCACCAGCCATCTGCTACAAGTGCAACAACTACGCTCACGTAATGGATGGCCGCGAAGTCAATTCTAACGTCGATGTGGAGAGGGCGGAAGGTGGAGCCGCGGAAGTAGCGGGAGCATTGGGAGTGGCTGTAAACGTTGGTGACCCACGTAGGGAACTATGCCAAGAATTTGTGAATCGCACCGCCCTTGCGGAGACACAATCGCCGGCAGACGACGACTGTGGTGACAGCCTCTACAACGGGTGCTTCAAAATGACCACAAAGAGTTATCGGCTCACAGCTAATGTTGGACGCGAACAGTTAAGTGTTACTATTGTCACGCGGAACTGTGTCGAAATACCGCGGAGCATTCCACTGGGGTGCTATAAGACTTTTGGCGGAGCCGGAATGGAAAGAGAGACGTGTTATTGCAAAGGAAATTATTGTAATTTGAGCTCAGGCCTCTGGTTCGGGGCTCTTATAGAAGTAGCGCCACTCCTCGTCACTATTTTTTTCGTCTAAATAAAAAGCTACCCATAGTTATTTCTCGTGCTACTGTTTGATATTGACAGTTCCAAAGAGGGAATCAATGTGCCGAATGGGCCTGATACGTTGTCTGGTGTTGCATAGGCCTTTCAAATGCATTTGACATTGCACTAGCAAACATGAGACCATCACGAACTCTGTTATATTTTTGCAATTTTGCACACGCATTTAACACTAATAATAGACTTGAATACTTGCTTGGAATACGACAGGAACAGAACCTAAATGTCGCTAGAACTGATGCACAAACCTGCTTTACACAGTGATGCAGGTACGTCAGCGGTGATGTCCGGTCTCATCAAACCATCCAATGCATCTTCTGAAAGCGCAACAGCCGAATTGCAACGACGATGACAATCGGTCTGGACACGCAAACTGTTTGCCCCTGCAATGGCACCGACACAGTTAGCGGTTACAAATATCTGCACATCACTGCCTTCTTCAAGCATCTTGTCGGTGGATTTTAGGTGCTCATGTCTCCTTATTTGTGACGCAGAAACAAAGGTTTGCCAACATGAATTTTGAGCTCGCGTGAAATTTCCTAGTAGCATTCATCGTAGCTGACGTTCAGCGCCCATCCATTGGTGCAGATTCCCACCCACATGGCCATTTCCTAGTCGGTGTCCTCCAGTCCATACCTATTGACACTGTCGGTCACGGGCGCTCCTGCGAGAAATGCTTTCAAGGAAGTTTACGAAACACGCTGCCATGCACTAGCAAACTACGCCTGAATCCGACCGCTTGAGTTTCGTTTAATTTCTTATTCACCGATTTTTGCTAATGTATTGTTCGCTTCAGTGGGTGTTTTAGTCGCTCACAGCACTCACATGGACATTGACACTGATTGCCCACACGACCTAGGCTGCATACGTCATGTTCGATGTTTGCAAATTGCCAGTCTAACAATTACTTCCAATCCGTGTGAAATTCTCAAGTTCAAATTAAATAACCGGTAAATATACACCTGGCTAATGGCCTTGTAATGCAGATTTCTTTAAGCCAACATTTGCGAGATAGTGGCAGTCTACTTTCCATCGTTGAAAGCCTCTGAGGTTAAGCAAGAACTGCCCATATACACGTGATGTGGTTTTTCACTTTTAAAAATGCTGTGCGGTGGAACCGTGACCATTGTCTTAACATACTTGGTGAGCGGAACGCGTTACGTGCTACACCGCCTGTTCTCGTGAAATTCCCACGAGCGGCTCACCCTCAACTTCCCATACTTCTTTCTCTCAGGCGAACACTCACAGGAGACAATTGCTGACGCGACTAACAGTGTGGCTGGCTGCAATGCATCGTACCTCTTCAAATGTATTGCATTCAAGTACGTCACTTTTGCAAGTCAACCGGCATAACATGTGGGTAATCTAACAAACCGGTGTTCGAATAGTGCGTGCCATGCCCGCTCGAACATGCGCGTTGTCTATGGCTGCCAGGATGAGTTCTGGCTGTCGTCAACACGAACTTCCAAGCAAGACGCAAATTTCCGATCTTGCTTGTAGACCATATCTAATGGAAAACGTCTTATAATTGCAGACATTCAAACAAACGAAGGACCTCCACTCAGTGGGCGACTTTTATTAACAAAAGTTTTGTTGTTTAAGTCATGTGACAATTTGAACTGCGTTTGGTAGGTTCACTTGTGGTTAGTCCTGATCAATCAAACACATACGATTGAGAACCACGCGCAATTTCAGGTAGGCTTTTCTGGTTAAAGCAGAGCCCAACGCCTACCAATTTCTCCTGCCTCTGGCCTATTCCGATTGCTTTCACCTCTCTTGTCCTAGCTTTACAAATACCTGTGGATTGCAAGTGTGTCACAACTGGGGGCATAAAAATGACCTACTGCAGGATTCAGTTCTTGCATCTTGACTTGATCTCGTCTACAACCAAGTCGACAACCATTAGCTTTGGCCCAGAAACATGCATTAGCGTAACAGTGCTAGATTTAACACCTGTAACGCTGAGGTCTCGGAAATGGCACAAAAAGTGAGTCGAAATCACAGATGCGGCGGACCAGTGATGAGTTTTGTGCATCTAGAATGCACCGCTGAGCTTTATCTGTCCATGCTAGCTATGAGAAGCTGAAGCATAATGCGGATTTACCAACTCGTAGTTCTGCCTGCACGGGTAGCTATGGGCAAGATGCATGCGATGATTTCCTAACTCCCCGCAAGCTGCAATTGCATCAGCAACGCACTTGTCTTATATTGGTCGTCGATTTGGGAAACAACAGATAGGATATAAAGATATTGAACAACGTAACATACAATTTACTGTCTCTCATATATTCACAAAAGGACACAATGTGCAGCATAGGTATAATCTCTAAGTATAAATCTTAGGTGTTAAAAATAATGACACAAACACAAGCAGCTCTTGTGGAGAAAAGTGGTCGGGAAGTGTCTTGGCCATTAGGGAATAATGGATTTAAAAAGGGCCAGAGTCTCAAACAACAACTCTTTTTTCTGCTCGGTCGTCAGGGCGGAAAGCTGGGACTTCAAGGTGGTGAGGGTTTGACGCGCAAGCTCGACCATTTTAGGTTGAGTACTTTTTTCTTCGGCTCCGTGTTTATTTGACAAAATTTCTTGAGTATCCACCGCTGCCAGCGTCGTATCCATCGAATCACACATGGGCTAAAAGTTAAAAGGGCATAATTAATTAAGGGGTCGTAGATTTTCATAAAGAGTCGAGAATTTTTGACTGCGGAGTCGCCGTGGATAATGTGCAATTAAACAGAAGCCACCAAAAGCAGACCTAATGCTACAGTGAAGGGCCCATTGAACGAAACACGTGAGACTTGATTCAAATGCTAAGCACTGGGTAAGGTGAGCAGAGCACAAAGTAAAATCCTCAACATTAATATAGCTCAGTCATTTCGATAATGCTGTGTTTTGAACAAACCTGGTTAGCAATCTGTTCCGGTTCCGTGTCAGCAACTAGGACCTCATCCACGGAGTTGAGTTCCTGACTGCTCCCGACAAAGTCATTGTGGCCCGTAGCAGCAGCACTTTCGAGTTCAGATACTTCTTGCGCCTTCGCTTTCACGTGGTCAAACGCAACTGACGTAGTCGACATCGATTTAAGAACTGAATCTTCAACCTCTTCTTGGGTGGTAGCCACAAAATCGAATGATTGGGATGACTCAAGAAGAGTGGTTTCCGAGGTGGTCGAGTGTTGTGATTTATCCGCATTTGATTCCTTAGTGGACATTGTAATTGATGACTGTGCCAGGTCTTCTGCGTTAGTGGAATCCAGATCGACGTTGTTTTTATCAGCCATAGTAGCCTTTTCCTGGACTGCGATTGTGTCATTATCAACAGATGCGAAGGGATGCCTGCAATTAAGTGGACGGACAAAGCTCCCAGCAATACCGTTGGGCAGAGAATGGCGTAAAGCATCGCGAGAGGAGCGATCAATTGGATCTCGGCGCCTCGGAGAGGCGGATTTACGACGACGACGTGAACCAATGGGAAGGAAGGGTGGCGAAGAACTTGATTTAGAAATATCGTTCGCAGTAGTCGAGAACCTGTTCATGTTAAGACGATTAGAATTACGAAACAGGAATATTGATGGATAGCTAGGCCCAGAAAAAATTCTCCCTCAGATCACAAAAAAGCTGAAGAAGTTTGCAAGTAATGGTTGGAATTCGGTAGCATTCACATTGACGATGTTTTGACGGATAACTGGGAAGAACGATAAACCGAGGCTTTGCAAATGAAACTAGATTGACTTGCAAACATGGTAGTTTATTCATATCTAGCATACGAGATTCGTTTTAGAAATGAACATACGGCATTGCAATCTCTTCAGGAAGGGCTGGTTGTATTACAGCAGATTTTAGCGGAGACACCCCAGATTCATTGTGAGAAGGTGGTGTCACCTCAATCGAGGGACTGGAAAATTCCGCCTGAAGCAGACCTTGTGACTGATTGTCCACTACCGACTTCACCTTGTTCGCCTCAGAGGAGGCAGAAACATGAGCATTTGCCGACGGCGGCGAAACAGGTTTAGTGGGATTGGTGGTCTGCGACCCTTCATCAGGCGACGGTTTTGAAGGGGAGTTGAGGATAAAAACAACCGGCTGTGAGGCAAAAGACACGCGAGTCCGGGGTCTCGGGGTGGTAAGATTGCGGAGAATACCTAGGCGCATTAATGTTTTTTGTATCTAAGGCTGCAGAAAGTGTTTGAGTAAGGCGTCCAGCTTTACAACAAACCGAAAAAGCGAATTCGGATACAACTTACTCTAATCGAAACCAAATAAACAAAAACAAATTGGTTAACCACATTGCAAAGCTGGCAAGTCCGTTAATTGGATTGACACACAACTTGGAGCAAGCGGTGCCAGTTAAATGGCTAGGCGGTTTCGAAATAGTACCCTTTAGTTAGAATTAAATAAGGAGGCTGCGTCATCTGATGGTTTGCATCTCGACACCAAAACATAATAACTAAATACAGCTAATAAGTTAGATAGACTGAGTGCGGTGGAATGCAGCAAATTCGCTAATGAAATTGTCTCAAATCGGTTAGGAGTAGCTTACCGGGTCTCGAACCGGGTTGGTCGTCCGGCACTGGGGCGGGGGATGTTGCAGTAGAGCTCTTTGCCAAGGCCGGGAGCGACTGCCGTTGTTTGCTTCTCTCGGCGGCTTTTGCCAAACCCATTTCCAGAATCTTTTGTGCTCTTTTGCCCATGGCTCCTAGAAAGGAAGTATGATCTAATACATGGCTTGAAAGATTCAAAGCCTGGATAAGTGTTCCAAGAGTACGCATAGTTCTAACCACATCTAAATGCTCGATACACTACAGCATTAAGGCATCCTAACGCGGAAGGTATCAAACGAAGCCGAAATGTAATATCGCAGGCAGTATAACGCTGCTAGGATAACTTGCAAAAACACGGTTCACAGATCCCTTAAAAACCTCACGGCGGTAACTGCTCTGCACCAATTCTGAAAGCCGTATGAGTGAGAGCGTTCTCCTATACTTGTGGTGAGACACTGGTAACAGTACTAGACACAATTTGACAAGGATTCAGGAACTAAAATGTGTTCTGCACTCATGTGCTACGATCCTGCGCCACTTGAAAAAAGGCGGAATCAAGAAGCCTTCACAATATGGAAAATGTAGTCTTTGAGGTGTCATATAACACCAAATGACACGAGTCTGACCTCCCAACAGAGGACTCTTCAATAGAGCCGGAGTCGCGCGAGAGACCATGGGACTACCAGAGAGTCCTGGAGAGGAGGGTGAAGGAGCAGCCGCCATGTTCCGCAGATGGTTGAGAAGAGCAACTGGTGAAGATGGAGGGGCCGTGTTTTGAGAAGGCTCTGTGTGCAGTGGGACGGAGGCTTCTTCAAAGGCTTCCTTCGAATCGTAGTGCTTCGAATCAGTGGATACTACTTCTAATTTGGGATAAAAATCAGCATCGTATAGTTTTGGGTTTAAATCATCTGGGAGAATGAAGGGTTTGTCAAACGAAGACACCCGAGGATGAAAACAAACAGAACATAAACCAAGATCATTAAAAGCAGGCAAATCAATACATAGTGCTACTTAAAAGCCGATCACTTTGTTGCTCAACAAAATTAGGAGGGCATACAAACTAACCTCTAGGTACTGCCTTTGCAGACGCATAATCAGTCTGGTCATCACCCTAAAAGAGAGAAAAACTGACGTGAGGCTTCGTTAGTGTACAACATGGTGATAAGAAAAGCACTTGCCTGCGAACACACAGTCTCAGGGCCAGTAGTTGTTTCAGTGGCAGGCTTTTCCTGTGTTTCCTCAAAAGGAAGTGGAGCATTGCTAGAACACAAGCAAACACCACGGTTACCGAAATTAAAGGAGACGTTGACCACCAAGTAGTTTTGGCACTACACTTTTCTCTTCTGCTTATTGACTTACAGATAATGACGATAAAGCAACACCGAAATAACAGTTTTTCTGGTTTTAGTATTTATTTGAGTGGGAAGACCGACATTACAAGTTCATTACAGATGGTAAAACCCCGGACGCCACAATAAATGGCAAGGAAACCAAATTACTACGTCTTTGTGATAATTTAGTGCTGGTAAAGTACTTACTAGACAGAAGCAGCGATGGGAAATGGAGCTTCAACAGCAGATGAATAATTCACGGCTGCTGGCATTGTAAGTGATTGAGAAGAGGGCTTGGATTCTGGCGGCTGGGGGTATTGCATGAAGGATTGCGACGACTCCATTGAGGATCGACTGTCGCTGTTACAAACCTGTGAGCTTAGAGACTGGTGACTAGCGTCCAGGTCATTGTACATAGAAGGAATGTAGGCTTGCCTGGAAGCGAATTTCGAGTACACGTATAGGTATCTCAAACTTAAAAGTTCTGACAACCGTGATCAAAAAATAGTTCAAGTCCAATTTCATTACTAGTAAGATCGCATTTACGACAAATTGTGAGCAAAATTGAGATGTGAAAGGGGAATGTAAGACGTATGGAAACCTACTTTTGTTCGAGGCGACGCTCTTTTTGATGCTCAGTAAGTCGCATACGCTTGCTAGCAATGTTCGGAGGAGGAATAAACACGAACTAAAATAACCGCATTAAGAACATTGGTGCGGATAATTAAAGTGCAAAAAAAACAAACATGGGCGAAAACCACACAAATACCTAGCTCGATTGTCTTGATTGATAAGTGAGAATGTGGAGACGCACGGAATTACTAAGATAACCGCTATGGTTTTCCCAACATCGCACGAATACAAGTGGACTGTTACTTTGAGAGAAATTTGCAAACTAGATACCTATGATATCTACCAAGTAGACATTAGGCGCCCAATGTTGATTCGCCTAGTCCAAATATGGCGATCACAAACAAAACAAACAAATTATAGTTGCATATTCACACGCACACTTCTGCCTGCTAAATGCTCCAGGCAGTGGACAGTAATGAGAACGGATGCCTAGTTCGCATAAAACAAAGACGAGGACTACCTGCGCAGAATCATCGAGCTCGGAGAAGTTGGGTAGTGATGTCTTCGCCAGATCATTTGTCTGCGCTCTCTTCTTACCGCGCTGAGCTACCGACAATGTCGTGCTAGCGGCCGGGGTTCCACACAAGCAGTTGGCATCGTCAACACCGCCCGAAAACAGACGCCGCCGAACCTCGCCGCTGTTCAACTTAACGTCATCACTAGTCGTGGTGGCAGGAACCTCAAATGACCGCAATTCACTCGAAGGCACTGCATTAGAAGAGGTTTGTAGATCAAGTCAAAACTACCTCGGCTATTTGAGGTGTAAGACGTTGGGGACGATGAAAGTGAATCGTAAAAAAAGTAGACATACAACATCGTAAATGAATTAAACTTACTGCAGCGCCCATCCTCCTTAGAATCATTTGTAGTTATTGTTTAGGGCGTGGACCCTAACATACACCCACAAACTACTCAAATCGAAATTCCAAACACAATAGAAGATTCCCATTTAGATAAACTACCGTACCGGACCGCTTGATAGGTGTCGTCGGCAACCCAACCTCCCTTGGATCTAGGGAGAGACGTCGCCGGCCCACCAACGGCATTCGTAGGGATGAAGACAGGTTTGAAGGTTGAGGGCTGGTCAGCTTCGGGCCTGCCGATGCGCCAAAGCGACGCGAAGACAGAAATGAGCCGAAAACTGATTTGTTAGGGGGGTTTTGAGACGGCGAGATTTGTGAGCTACCATTGCTAGTGTCGCAAAGAACATCACCCTCTTGGTGGGGATGAGAACCGGATTTTTTTCGGAGTCTCTACAAAGTTTTTTAGTCAATTAAGAGGAACATTTGCAAAACTGGTTTCTGAAGGATTTGCGACAAACTAGCGAGGGAGCACAATTCTCTAACTCACAGGACCAGACATTTCTACTTAAATCCATGACTCAGAAATATCCTTACATTCCTAGGCTACAGCAGTGTGTAGAACAAAGTTGGTTAAGGTGCCACATAACCGTCGGAATGTCTCTAGACATAAGGTTGACAGATCAAGTACTTACGCGTTGGAACTCTGCCAGGGTCAAATTTTCCTCATCACCACCATCAATAGCTTTGGATGCTGTAAAATCAATCGTGTCACGGGATTTACCGAGAATCACTTGTCTAGAGGATGAGTTTGTGGTTGCGGTCGGGGGTAATGCATTCTCTTCATTCAGATCCTCTACAGCCAAGCAGTCCAAAGGAATCCAGCAAGGAAAAACCGCTCGCTTACGAAGGGACACTGCCTCTTTGTTCAAGCATAAAGCGAAATGACTTGCCAAATTGCAAAGTTTACTACGTAAATCGGACGCTTGAGTGGGTGTTGAAGTGACCAAAGTGTTCCACAAAGAAACAATACAACTGATAAACATTTCTCGGCGACGACTCAATATGGCACCTAAGGTAGATGGAAAGACTTGAAAGTTTAGAGGCAGAGAAAATATGTGAAAATTAAAATCCCGGTTAATTTATAATGTGAGTTCAATAACCTCACCAAACCGCATTGGCTATTTTATAATCACAGGTAAAACCGGCAAGGGGAAATTGGCCTCCAGTAATTAAAAGAATATTCCTAAATTCTCGAGTTAATAATGGGGAGGCGCAGACGTGATAAGCACATAATTTTTTCGCATTGTATCATAACCCACTACAATTGGCTTTTTTCGGTAACATGGCGCTAAATCCAGAAGAAAGCAGAAACAAGTCAATTGGCACGGTAAAAATAATAGCCACGATCGTACCACAGCAACCCGACTTCCGAGGTTTCGGTGATGCGCATTGACCGATGCATTTAGTCGCAGCATTGTGGGGATCAAGCGGTGAGACTGGACTAGAGGCCAAACAAACGGCGGCCTCAAGGAACACCATCATCTGAGAAATAGCACTTTCTGGCAAGTTTAGCGGCTTTGACTCTTCATTTGGCTGATTCTTGGAGTCCTCTGCTTCCTCAGACTTGAATAAGTACTTCTGAAGACGATGCCAAGCAAGCGTGAAAAATGCCTCAAACTAAAATGTTCGTACTTTGAATTAGGACCACTAGTTGCATTCGATTTTATGAAACCGTAGTAGGGTATTGAAACTCACCGCAGTCACTACAGCGGCGTGCGCCTCAACATCAGTAACGGCAGTAGATTCCGCTGTGAGATATTTTGCAAGAGCAAGCAGTCCCGAGGAAGAGAGTTCAATTAGGTGGAATGCTGCTTCTGCTGATTGCACATGTCGCTAAAATAAGCTAACTAGTTAAAGTATTCTGTGTGTGAAAAGCCCGAAATTCAAAACGTTTACGTGTGGAACGCCCAGAAATAAGAGCATTTAATAAGGCTCCATAGGGTCAATATACGATTGTACTGCGAGCCAGACGTCACTTCAAATTCAATAGAGTGGACCGATAGCGTTCCAAAAATTGCGCAATACAAAATTGAAAACCTTTCAGTTATGTTCGCATTAAAATCGAAAAAGCTTCCTTTAGTAGGTACTGTAAACGCCCAAACAGTTTTACCTGTAAAACTAGCCAGAGGGAGCGCAAAAGACCGCATAGTAGTGGAGGTCTGTGATCACTTTGCTGCTGATGAGCGTCATCAGCAAAAGCAGATTCACAGAGTCGAGTTGGTGAAAGAGGTTCGAGAGCGGGAGCGCGCACGCTTAACGACCTCTGGCGCCGGCCTCTGGTACGTGGGGTTGATGAAACCATTGATTTAGGACTGATCTGAAAGATATCAAGACCTGTGTAAGAAAGCAAGCGGGTAAGGTCGTCGCGCAACTAAAGGCCTACGAAATTGGTCGACATAAACATGTTGATACAGAGTGGCAATTACACCTTCGCACCAGACAGCATAGCTTGATAGTTATCACGATCCGATCACTACTTCACATAATGTATCGATACTAATATGCATTCGATAGGTCCTCCGTTTGGCTGTATGTCAAAAACCGAGGCACAAATGGATTGTGCTGTTCATGTAGTAACGTGTGAATGTACAAACCTCAAACTGTTCCATAGGTATTAGCCCAAGACATTGAGAAATCGCCTCAACAGGACCAGACATTTGACCAAGTGGTTTGCCTACGCGAGCAAGCCATTTCGAAGGGCTGAACCGACCTAGAGTTGGAAAAGCCAAAAGTAACGACAAAACGACATTGCAGTTATTGGCTTAAGTATAAAAAATGTCAACTCAAACAAAGATCACGTTAAAAACAACCGCCAAAGGGTTCAGTCAAAAGTATTCCAAGGGCACATATCTAAATGGACCTACGGTGCCGCAAAATAAATATTACGGGAGTCATCTAAATTATTCACGGAGCGAATTCACCCGATGCACAGATGAGTCCCGATGGGTCATTGACAGTAAGGCGAGTGGTTTGCTTACGCACAAAATCATTAACCCTTGTTTTTTCATCAGCTCAAATCTTGCCTTTTATTGACAAAGCAATCGTGCTTTCTTTCATAAACTTATTTTAAATTTTAAAAAAACCCAGACCTAGGTAAGCACGACGCAAGACAAACCTTTTGCATTTTCTTCAACGCCCTCCGCGGACTTGACCATGAAGATGAGGAAATTGGCAGCAATGTTTAGATTTACTTCCTTTGGAGCCTTCGGTTAAAAGACAAAAATTATAAAATGAAACACTATTTTGGAGACCTAAAGACTGATATTACCTCTGGATTTGTATCTTTGATCAATTCGAAAAGCAGTCCACCAAGTTGATTAATCCATGAGTTTATAGGGACAGTTGTGAGGAGACACGCTTCGGCATGGAAGGCACCAAATAAACCAAAGAGGGAACCCAATATTTTCTGTTCCTGGTCGCTCTAAAACATCACAACGGGTTAAACTAAGGACTGTAACCAAAAAACTGTGTGTATATAACAAAGCGACAACAAAGAATTCGGTATTACATGCGTCGGCTTTAATATGAGCGGGACCACTCAAGGGTGCGAAG